CAGAAGGGTGTTGGTGAGTGGGGGCCATAAGGTGCACCAAGTTTTGATCCTGATGGGCTAGGCTTGAAGCTGGACTCTCAGGGCCAGTGCTGCCCAGAATTCTGCCTTCTCCATAGTCAATAAAGCTTTCCCTTCCGAATCTGCACACTGGACTTTTCTTGCCACGGTGGCAGCAAGCATGCTGATAGAGAGGGAGGGCAGGGGCTGGCAGGAGGAGCTGTGGGCCCCAGCAGCGAGCCAGGAAAGGGATCCTGTGGCCCAGCCAGCCTGCCTAGCCTGCTCAGCCTTTGGGCCCTGACTAGGTTTTGTAGCCGTGAGCCCTGCTTCCACTCTGGGGAATCTGTTGTTGGGAGGGGAGGGGACAGTGATTGCAGCAAGTAAGCAGTGATTGTAGCAGAAGCATTGCCTGGGGGCCAGGGCTGGGCTGGAGCTGCTCAGCTGGAGTTGGGGACTTACCCTCTGACTCAGTTGTTTTACCTTCACTGATAGTGGCTGAATGGCCTGCTATTGTGGCAGCAGGTGCCAAAAATGGAAATACCTAAATGTGTGCTGTGTAATCAGTACGCAGTGAGTGCTAACACTTGTCATGGATGCTGAGCTGAGAAAACAGACCAAGCAAGGGAAAAGAGCATATTTCTGTCTCTCCACAGTGACATAGACATTTGCTGGTTCTTACTTTCCACCTATGCCCAGCCCAGTCTGTGATAATAGGTGCCTTGTCAATGGCTGTCATCTGGTCAACCTTGTCTTGGTCTGACCTACAGCTGCTGTATGCTGTCCCCGGAGACTGGGATCACCCCCTCCTATGTGAGGCACCCTCACTGGTGTCCCCAAAGCATGCTGGACCACAGTAGCACTTGTGGGCTCTGATTGTCTCTCCAACCTTAGAGCTTGCTGCCGTATTGCCAGGACCCTGGGCGTCCAGTCTTCACTTCCATGGCTTCCTGTCCATCCCCTCCATGCTCACAGCTTCCAGCTCCATGCCACTGAGCCTATGCCTATGTTATTTCATTAGTGTGGGTTATTCAGACCTCATCTATTGTCAACAAAAATCCGTAAAAATTCAGAACAAATGATGTCACCTGAACCCTACCCAGATTTCTCCGAAAAGAGATGGCTGCCTCTCTCTCCTCTGGGCCCTTGGCACTCTCCTTTGTCCTATGTTTGTGGACCTGTCCCTAGTCCGCAAGTTTGTGGATCCCTGAGATCAGTGACTTTGTCTGACTTAGCACTGAGCCTGGAACCGAATAGGTGCTGAGTAAAGCAAGAAATGAGTGATGCCCAAGATAAGGATCCAGGGCTCATGTTGTGGTACAGCTGGTAAATCCACTGCCTGCAACACCAGCATCCGCTAAGCAGGTGGATTGGAGATCCAGTTGCTCCACTATCCATCTGGCTCCTTGATAATGGCCTGTAGACACAGCAGAGGCTGGCCCAAGTACCTTGGCCCTTGCTACCCTCATGGGACACCTGGAAGAAGCTCCTGGTTCCCAGCACTGAATGTTTTATCTAATTGGGAAGGTCCTTCCTAAAAAGCCCAGAGGCAGGGTCCTGGGGACCAGGAAGTTGCTGCTGGTGACCTGAGCTCCAAGCTGCTCTCTTGCACAGGCCCTCTTAGACAGGGCTGAACCATTAATGGCTTGGGGCCACACTGTCAGCTCAGGGCTGTGGCATCTGGCTCTCAGGACTCAGCTTGGCTGTCCTGAAGGAGGATGGGAGGCGCCAGGGTCACAAATGAGGAACCCTGGGCAGCAACAGCATCCTGGACTACCAGCTGAGGTTATCTTCCAGCAAACCAGCTGAGATCTGAAACTGCTGACAGAGCCCACAGCCTGCAGACTTGAGGGCCTAGCGCCACCTGCTGGCTACAGGGTAGACCTGCTTGATCCCAGAAAAGTTGGGGTCACTGTTTCCAGGCTTTTCATCTGGCTCCAAAGGAGATCCCAGACTTAAGGATTAGCAAAGAAAATCCTACACATGAGAAGGTTGGATAGATGCACAAAGCCCAAGAACAATAAGCAAAATGTACTTAGAACCCCCTGGCTTGCGGGGCTTGGGTGTGGAGGGAGGCCCAAGCCCATTGGCCTGCCAGCTGCTCAGAGCCAGACCAGCCGGCTAGCCCTGTCTCTGAGCTCCCAGGCCTTTGGCACCCGGGCCACCCAGTGGTGGGGTCTTGAGAGGGGAATACATGGACTTTTAGGCTTCAGAGCAACACAGCAGCCCAAGAGAGATAGCGGAACTGGGGTAGTTAGTAATGACCAATGCCAAATACCACTCACAGGGGCACACTGAAGCTAGGGCAGGGGAACTGCCTACCTGGCAGGGCTAGATCACAGTTTTCACCAAGAAGAGTTGAAACAAGAGGTGGGAAATGTTAGGCTGCACCATGTGCCTAACCAGCATGCAAGAGAACTCAGTCTTGAGGCAGATTCTGTAGGGAATGTGTGGGCCCACCCCTTAGATCTGCAATTTCAACTGGTTTGCTTGGAGTTGGGAGTGGTGATAGGTTGCCCATGGAACCATTGACACTCATGGGTACTGGGGTTGGGTACAGACTATGTTGGTCCAAGCTGCAGCACCCACAGACACACCTAAGACTCTGGTATGGGGTGGGCCAGGCCACAACATCCACCAATCATACATATTTAGGTCAAAGGAGGTAACCTACAACTGGTAACAGCCTAGCACCCACTGGCACGGAAGGACTATGGGTGTGGGAGTGGGTCTGGGGGGGAACTAGGGCAACTCCCTGATGGGCAATTGCTCCTGCTAGTGAACATAAGACTCAAGTCTGGGTGTTGGTCAGACCAGACATGGTAGCTCCTGCTGTCCACAGCCATGAGGGGTGGTTTTAGAAGGGGGTGGACTGGGCAGAGCCAGGCAGTGCTGGACCACAACTCATGCTGGCAAGAGTGAGAGCTGGAACTGGGGACAGATCAGGCTGGGCAGGGCTACAACACCTGCTGACCTACATGTGAACCTGGTTATGGGGAGAGCCAGGCTAGGGAAGCCAATTGTATCCATTGGTACAGGCATGAGCCAGAATAAGGGCAAGCAGGTTAGGCTTTGACACAGCATCAGCTGGCAAGTACTAGGACAGAGGGCAGACCCTATCTAGCTAGACCACAGAACCACCTAGAGAGTGCAAGATCAGGGGCAAAGAGTGGGTCCAGTGGAGGGGTTGTGGCCTCCTCTCTGATGGGCTGCAATTCCCACTGGTGAACATGAGAACCAGCACTGGGGCTGGCCTGGCTGGACAGGCGTTGGCACCCGCTGGCATGAGCGTGTGCTGGAGGGTGAAGTTGTTTGGGTTGAGTTAGGCTTTTATGTCCAATGATGTATACAAGACCCCAGTGGGATGTGAGGCAGACCGGACCGGTCCACTGCATATGTTGGCAGGCACAGAAACCAGAGCTGAGGGATTCGGTCCAGTGGAGGTTATTGGGCTGCAGCTCCCCCTGCAGTACGTGAGGATCAAGCATGTGTTGGCCAGGGCTGGGCTGGACCACAGCACTCATTGGTATGCTGAGGATGGATCAACTACCCCAGTGAAGTTTGACAGCAAATTTCTGGGCCAATGGAGACTCAGAGGCAGACTATGACAGCCAATCGAACTCAGAAAGATTCCCTCATCCATGGAGCAGTGATATCAGCTGCATCTCAGAACTATCAAGAATACATGAACAAACCCCCAGAAAACACTCCACGAAAGGAAACTTGGGTTGACGTCAGGTGGCAGTTCCTCAATCCTCTGGATGATGAAGCCGCTGGGAAGCTTGGTGGACTTTATTCAAAATTAGTAAATTATGTATTGCTCTTTTGAAATAACATTTTACCTTATATCCAAAATTTCTTGTACCCCCCTCTCCACTATACATGCGAAGAACAAGAAGAAAATGTATAAACAAGGGTCTCACTACCCCAGATCCTCGACCCTTCCTACCCCGATCAACTAGACAAACATTATTGCCAATAAAATTAACAAAAACAAAAACAGCAGCAACTAAAAAGGAATCCCCTGGGTTGCCCTGTGAGCCCTGCCTTGAGACAGAACTTTGGTTCAGCATATTGTGACAGTCCCAATGTCAGGTCTAGCACCTCTGGAACTCTGGCTCTGGTCCAGGGCCTGGGGAAGTCTTACAGGAGGACTGTCCCCGCCTACTAGGGTGCTCTTCCCCAGCCAGTCCCAGGGGCAGGGCAGCCTGAGGGGACACCTGCTATATCCGGTCACAGCTCCCCTGAATGCTGGGATGCAGGTTCTGGGCTTCAGTCTGGAGCTCTGCAAGGGAGGGAAGCCAGGTCATTCTCCTCCAGCAATGGAACTGCCAGTCTGCAAAAACGACCAGCGGGCTCACTACAAAACTGCCAAGAACCAATGCCTGAGGATTGGGATCTGCCTTTGATTTCACCTTGAGGCCCACATGGAGTCTACCACATGCACCCCTCACTTGTCTGGGCATGACTCACCCAACTTCTCCTAGGCCCACTCTCTCTCTACATTGCCATTCTGCCAGCTCAGGCCTCCATCTATGTCCACCTGGAGTGGTTGGATCAACAGACAGCTTGGCCATGCATATTTCAGGAGATCCCCAAATTCTCCCCCATGAACACCACCTGGGACACTATCTTCACAGAGAGGGAAGCAGGTGCTCCCTACACACCCCCCAGTGCCACTCCAGCCATGCCCAGTGACCACTTGAGTGTAGGGCTGTGAGCTGCTGTATTTCCCTTTGCCGCAAATCTCTCCTTTGTGGGCAATGATGCCAACAGGACAAGGAGAGAGCACCTGCAGTGCTCCGGTCTGTCCCACCATTGTTTGAGGCACCACACACATCAGTGCAGCCATCAGCTTCCATCAGCCACAGGCCCTGATGAGCCTGTATCCAGCAGTCACCTGCCTCCTAACCAGGAAATGTGGTTCTCTGCCACACAAAGTGGCCTCAGGTTCCTCCCCCCACACCACCGGCTCCCCCACCAAGGACACCAGACTTTATTCAAAATTTCACCTTATACTCTAAGCTTTATTTGGTCTGTAAATGACCGAGTTCAATAAATTAAATAAGTTAGTCCAGCAAGAAAAAGAGTCAATGGAATAAATAGTAATCGAATGAAGACTGGCTTATCTTCACTCACTGATAGTTTAAAATAGTCACAGTGTCATTAAAACTACAGCACTATGTCATTCTCAATCTGGCAAGCTAGGTGTGCAGATTAGGTGCACCTTTCTTGATACTTTACTTCATTTCATCAATTCCAATTGTTCTTCAACAGTTATTGAAGTGACTTAAAAGGCAGATTAACAGATGAAGAATGGCAGAAAGAGACAACTCTGCCATCTGTTGGTTCAATGCCCAAATAGCAACTAAGGCCAGAGATGATCTGAGCTGAAACCAGGAACCAGGAATTTCTTCCATAGTTCCCCTAGGGGTACAGCAGTCCAAGCATTGGGCCACCATCTGCTACTTCCTCAAACATTTATGAGGCAACTGCCTAAGAGAAGGATCAGTAAGGAGCTCTATCAGTGAGTTTTGCTGCCTAACAAACAAACCGTAAACATTTTGAGATAAATATTCCTGCTGCAGTGGAGAGAGGTGATTCTGAGGCTCCTCCGACCACAGCTAGGGTGTTCAAGTGCTGTTACAGAGCTTCCAGTGATCCAGGCTGGTGTCCTGAGAGCAAGCAGGATGATGTGGCTCTGCTTCTGGTCTCTCCCTTTTCCACCAGCAGTCAGGCTTGGACTAGGCACTTGCTCAAGCCCAGAAGCATCACAGAAGTCCAAGGATGAATGCACATGGCCTCCTGAGGTCTAGGCTGGGACTGACACACATCCACTACTGTTTCATTGCATAGGATGAAGCAGGTCATGGGATTGAGCATACAGTCAAGGCTGCAGTCCATGATGGAAGGCACTACGAGGTGACACGGCTACATTCAGAGGTCTGTGCTGAATCAAAGCCCCGAGGTAGGAACTCCATCCAGATTGTTTGGATAGGTGATAGGGACCCAGGCATTAGTCATCATTCACTGCTTTCTCTGGGGCATGAGTAGGAAGCTGGATGGAGAGCAGAGCAAACGGAACTTGAAGGAGCACACAGATATGGATGGCTCGCTTTCCAAGCAACAAACCCCCATGCCTCAGATCTGGTCCACGGCTTCATAAATCTTTTTCATGCTAGTGGATGTCTGCTTTTTCTGTTTGCGCCTGGATATCAGGACCAGGGAAAGACAGAAATATGTATCAATTACAAATAATTGAAAACAGCTTTACATCCTGCTCTCTTATTGTCTTTGCTCCAACCAGAACTGGTCCCAGGAATCAGTCCGCTGACTTTAGATAAGCAGCTTTATCCCTGTAAGAACACATCATTCCCCTTTCCCTGAAGCATTTCCAATGAGCTGGTCAGCTCCTGTTCACCATTTCAGCATGACAGAACCATGCCTTGTTGGGAGCAATTTCACTATCCTGAACCATCTCATCAACACTTGGAAACATGTAGCATCAGTCAAACAAAAATGAATGACTGCAGGTCAGTGAAAGACTGTAGTAAGTAGGCCAACTGACACATTAACATAATACAAGCAATTTCAGGAAGGAAAACCTCTCTCTGATAAGGCCCACAATGAGTGACAACAGCAGACACAGGTCTACACATATTGGTCTACACATACAGGTACAAGTTCTGGCCAGAAAAGGCATGCTCAGATTCAGTTCACAGGGAGCCTGTGCAGCACACAGACAGAGGGCAGCTGCCACTGCATCCTCCCAGAGCCCCAACACCACATGGAAATCACATGGAACACTTCTTCTCCAGCACAAGGAAAACCACCCACATGTATAACAGCCTCGCATCAATTCTGAGGACTCGTCAACAGCACTCTAGACTGGGACCCTGATCTCCTAGTGCAAATTCAAGACTGGGCTAAACTCTGCTCAGCAGTCCCTTACCATTTTAGATTGCAGTAAACCACAATAATTATAGCTAAAATCAGCACTGCAACAATAGGTAAAACAATCACGTAGCTATTGTTCTTCACAGGGTCTGCAAAAGAAAGAGAATAATGTTAAGAAGAAGCTACTTGCAAAGGCCAAAACATGACACAACCAATGCCAGGTCCAACGTGGTTTCTGTTCCCTTTCCCCTACCAGGTGAACAGCTATTCCATTCCTATCACATGCAACTTGACATGTCAGTGTGTTCAGCCCTTGTCAGAAATGCACAGCAAGATGCAACACCACATACACAGGCCACACAGAGCTTCAAAGCTTCTACAGTATGCTTGCAAGGGAAAAAAGCTCAACTGCGGGGGAGGGGGTGGTATGCGGGGTAGAGAAGGCGGGGAGGGCACATTTTGGGGAGGGGAGGGGGGAATCCCAGTGCCTGTAAAACTGTATCGCATGATGCAATGTAATCAATTAAAACAAAAAGTAAAAAAAAGATGTTTGCAGGCAAAATTAAAAAAAAAAAAGCTTCTACAGCCAGTGTCAGCACACATGCTTAGTCATGCAGACATGCACACACAGGACATTCCCACTCCATGTGCCTCCCCCACACACTGCATGCACTTCCTTGCAACAAGCCACCACAAATACCCGTATGCCCAAGAACAATTCCTTCTTCCCTCTGGGAACATCCAAGGTCTCATCTGGCACACCCAGACCGCCTACCCCTGGAACTCTGCCTTCCTTACTCCCCTGGAACCAAGAAGATGCATTTCACCAGCAGAGTCATTCCCAACAACACCACAGTCATGACCAGGGCAATCATGATGAGTTCAATGACTACCCTCCCACTACCAACAACAGCTGGAGGGATTCTGCAGAAGCTGAGCTGTGTTGCACTAAAGATCTGACCTGCCTGGCACAGGCTCAGGACAGAACATAGGACTACTACTTGGCTTCTACCAGGAAATCATTTACAATAGATCTAGTCCTGCTGGGAGGGATGTGGCAAGGCTGCTTCTTGACCCGGGCCCACCCCTTCTCTTCAGGGCATTTGGATACAATCCTGTCCCTATCCCCATAGAGGCACGCAAGCTTACCACCCCATGCCACAAAGACCATTGAGAACCAATTTCCAGGAGACACAAGCTGATGAGTAGCCCATTTGCACTGGACCACTCTCTCTACTCGAGCTGACCATACCTTCTGCCTTTGAGGAGAGGGACTTAGTCTCGGCTGCTGACTCTGGTTTAGCTGGGTCTTGTCCCAGCTTGCTCCCTCTTCACCATGTTTTACCTCTTTCTCCTTCAATTCCCAGTGCAGCGCCTGGCATGCCTGTGAGCCTAAGCTGTAAGTTGCACTGCCTCAAATCGTGGAGTAGGGAACATGTCCAGAAAGAGGCTTACCTGTCACACTCAGTGTGAGGTTGAGTCTCTGGGTGTTGTGTAGGGAAATGTGGCTCACCACACACTGGTACACGGCCCCAGCATCTTCCAGAGGAGACTTCAGTGTCACATAGCTAGTGACATTAAAGGTCCCATCCTCATTCTGGACATGATGACCAGTGAAGATGCCTTCAGATATCGGCAGAGGCTGGGCCACATTCTGGAGACAAATCTCCCATGTTATGTTCACAGAGTCTGGGTAGAAACCACTGCACTTGCACACAATGCGTGTGTATTGCTTTGAGTTCTCCAGGACCTGGTCCTGAAATATTTTGCTGGTTGGAGTAGCTGCCAGAGAGAGGATACACACTGAGTTGGAATGAGGCTTCAACTCTTCCTGCCCTCACTCACTGACTCCTACCACACACACACATCTGCACCTCACTGCTTCTGTAAGAAGACAAGACCCAGTACATGATAGCCACACTCACTGTACAGATGGACACTGGGGCACAGGTACTTCTGCAGCCATGCCCAGCTTACCTGACTGAGAAACACCCACTAGCCACAGCAGACTCTAGGGAAGGGAGGACAAGCTTATTACCCACCTGATTTCTGACACAGAAGAACACCTCAGGAAGAACAAGTGAACTGAATCAGACTCTGCTTTGACTAAATGTCAAGGCCAGTGCCAGCAGCATGCCACCATGCTAGAGCCCAATGCTCATAGTATGAGTGCAGCTGAGTCTCCTCACACATCTTGCTTGCTTCCTACACATCTGGGAGAATCTGCAGAAAGTCTTAGAGCACTGTTGTGGGACACAATGCTCATTGATTCCTAATTTCTGTTACATAGTTTCAGTTAGAAACAACACATCCAGATGAAGCCTATATCATCTGAATTCATGGAAGGTTGGTCTGGCCATGTGAACTGAGGGTCTGGTCATTCCAGATTCACTGAAATGTGGTGAGAGCAACTCCCTGGAAGCACACATCCATCAAAGTGTGTCCTGAGGATGACAAGTGTGCCCTGCCCTTGCAGAATGGCTGGACTCCCCTGTGATGGCTGGGAATACAAAGGCCATGTACCATGATCAGATGGCAGCTCCACTTAGAGATGGCAGAATCACTGTTTGGCAAGAGCAATATCCATCCATATGACAAAAACAAAACAAAACAAAGAACAATGTGTGGCATCAGAGAAATTCCTCAAGCTGATAAAGAACTTTTACCTAAAATCTATGCCCAACATCCTGAGGAAGAAAGTAAAAAATTTCAGGAGTAGGCAGGATGCTCCCTCTACACTCTATTCCTAGTACATTGCAATGAACTCCAGACCAGTAAAATAGGATAGGAACATAAAAGTACACAGACTTGAAAACATGATGAAACTATATTCGTTCATAGATAATGTGATTGATAGACAGCAATCGCAAAGATTCAACCAAAAAAAACCACAAACAAACAAAAAAGGCTTTGAGAACTAGTAAGGATAGTAGCAGCCTCAAGATAAGAAGCCCATGTACAAAAATCAATTACTTGTCTACAGAACAGTAGTGATCAACTGAACTTGGAGATTAAAATAATGACATACATTCCTGTACACATGGCCAAAGGGGACATTCGGTCTCGTGGTTCAGGTGCAGGTTAGAATGCCTGTGCCCACACCACGGTACTCAGGCTCAGTCTCTGCACCAACCCCTGATTTCAGTTATCTGCTTTTGCAGGCTCTAGGGGGCAGTGGTGATGGTTCAAGGGCAGGGTCCATTCAACCCAATAGGGGTGAGGACTGAGTCAGCTCCCAGCTGGCCTACTGCCTGCATCACACAATTCAAAGTCAACTAGTAAGGTATCATTCTCTCTCTTTTTCTCTCTGCCTCACAAATAAATGAATAAAAATTTAAACACACATGCAAATAAAAATATAGAGAGAAATATATAGACACACATATAGCCTTTAAGCTTACACACATACACACACGTGCGCACGCATATATATATTAGACACACCCAGACTCTATAAGAGAAACACACCATAGCCTGCTAAGGAAGACAGAGAGAGAAGAAGGCCAGGGGAAAGAAGACTCAAAAGAACCAACAATACGGACACCTTGCCTCAGATACAGCCTTCAAATGGGAGGAAACCACCTGTGCTCTTCAAGCCAACTGGTCCTCGTTCAACTCACGCTGCCCCAGCCACTTACCACTAAGTGCAGCCAGGGAGCATCAGCTCTGTTGTCCAAATGCAGGGCTCTTAACTTCACATATGAGAGAAACAAGCAGCATGTCTGAGTGGATGGCTATTTTACTTACCATCACTTCCGAGTCTCTCCATTTTAATGCTTATGAAAATATTCCATTCTACATGTCTAACGATTTATGTATATATGCATATGAAAGGCAAAGTAACAGAAGAGAGAGAATGCATGCTCCCATACATTGCTAAGTCCCCAGATAAACACACAAACCAGGACTAAGCCAGGCTGAAGCTGCAAGCCAGGACCTCCATCCTGGGTCTCTCACATGGATGGCAGGAGCCCCAGCACTCAGGCCTACTGGGCTGCTTTCCCAGGAACAAGAGCAGGGAACTACTTTGGGAGAGGTGCAGCTGCACTAAACCAGCAACCTTAAGGGATGCCAGGGGCACAACACACCATGACACAACACGGACCCCACATGCAGCCATCTTAACTGCTAGGCCCAACCCTGACCTCCTATTTCAGTTGATCTGAAGACGTTTCCTACTGTTCCCCACAAGGGCTCAAACACTTTTCATGTCACTGTCTGCAAGAGTTTCCTTTTCTCCCCATCTCACCAGCATCTATTCACCAGACTGCTGGGTAACACACCACACTGGAGCTCAAGATGGAATTTGGGGATGTGTCTGTCCTGTCAGGCTTCATCATACCTCACTCCACTGCACATCTTGCATAACATCTTCCTAAGAATCCCTTTTTGGAAATGGGAAATCCAGGTGCAAGGATGCTAAATGTTTATCTCACTCACTTAGAAGCACAAAAATTGAAGGGGACCACAGTCTAGCAACCCTCTCTTTCCCAGCTGCCTCCCCAAGGAACCTGCTCAGATAAAATGACAACCCACACCCAGTGGGAATAATGCAATAACCACTATTGCTGTCTTCCACTCACTATGTGTCATAGACAGGGGCACATCCAACATTTCACCTGCATCTTCCCAACATGCCATCTCTCCCCACTCCTCCTGGGCAGATGCCATCACATTTGTTTCTAGCAAGGGCACCGAGATTCAGAGGCTTCACACCTTGCCCAGAGTCATCTCACCACCCACCAAAGCCCAGCTCTCTAGCCCACGGTGGGTCCCCAGACCAGCCTCTAACATCCATCCCACTCTGCACCTGCAGCCCACGGGATCCCGGGCATTGCCCTCAGGCACTCACCCACAACTTCCAGCTGCACACTTTTCTCATCCATCTCAGGGGTGACCACCACCTTACAGAAGTACTCTCCAGCATCACTGAGCTGAATGGCTGGCAGGTGCAGTGAGGCCTCTCCCCTCATCAGCTTCTCCGGAGAGATGTTGGCTCCAGTTCGGTATGCCTTCTCGTGATCTCCATAATACTCAAACACAGGAACTTTCTCCTCTGATCCTTTTTTCCTCACAAACCAGACAACACCCACAGTGCTGATGTCCAGAGCGGGAGAACCAGGGATCTTGCAGGTGATGGTGATGTTGTCGTTGAGAAACACGGTCTGAGTCCTCCCTGCCATCTCCACCCGAAATCCTGTGGAAACAGGAGAACTCAGTTACACAGAGACCCTTGACACAAACACGCCTGCAACTCCAAGCAGAACCACATAACTACAAATGCACAACTTCATGAAGTGGACAGGGAATGATTCAGGACACAGGTTCTTTGTCCATGGCCCTGTTACAGCTCCAATGTGGAGAACTTCAAATCCAGGCCCATGCAACCTATTGGTTCCCGGAATCTTTAGCTGCACGCTGTGAAGCATGAGGCCGATGAACACAGCAAGAGGGCAGTTTCTAGCACAGACGTATATGAGGAAGAGCAGAGGATGATGGGCCAAAGGGAAAGCTCACAGGACAGCAGCCAGGCAGGGCTCCTTCAGCAGGAACAGCCCCTCAGAGCAGGGAGCCTGGAGGGTGAGGTGGGCGCGGTTGGTGGCTATGTCTCATGAGAAGTTTTAACAAGGGAATTTGAAAACAGTGTTTGGGGTTGGGTCTCAGGACGGGGCGTCTCATGCCTGGATCCCAGACAGCCGCCATGTGCGTACGGTGAGCTGTTCCTGGGCCTGCCGGGTTCCAGAGGCTGTTTCCTTCAGGGTGAGTAGACCGAGGGGGGAGGCCTCCGGGACTGGGCAGGTCCGGGACCCACCCGCCGCCTTCATGGGGTGGTGAATGGGATTTGGGAGGGGCGCGACCTTGGGCCTGGGTTATTTAAACCTCCAGCAGCCTCCCGGCAGCTGGTGGGTCTCAGGACGGGGCATCTCATGCCTGGGTCCCAGACAGCCACCATGTGCACATGGTGAGCCGTTCCCCGTGCGGCTAGTGCGCCATTTGGTGCCAGGTTCCGCCTGCTGGCCGCCCAGCCAGGGAGCTCTGGGGATTTGGTTCTTTGAGTCGCTGCTTAATTAGCTCCAGGTTGAAGCCGTTGTGCTTCTTGGACCTGAAACAGGCAGTAACTCTTCCTTTGTAAAACTTGTAATCACTAATAATGCCAACCACCAAATACCAGTCCATGTAGAAGCTATGGCTTGGGGCCTGTCCTGCAAAAGTAGCTCCAACAGCTGGCTAATGTGTCAACTGGTAATGCAACAGAGTAGATCAGGCACGACTGAGCAAACCTTAGCCCACAAGTAAAACTAGAAACCAGGAGGGAGCAGAGGTCATGCCGAGCTAGGCTCTTGTACCTACTGGTCTGCGGGAGCCAGGAACGCTAAGCCACAGTGTCTATGGCAGCGTTCGGGACAGGGGAAGGGCTGTGCCAAGCTGAGTCAGAGCATCCATTGGCAGGCAAGTGACCTATGGCTGGGAACAGACCCGGTTGGGGAGCAAAGGGGACATCCCTAGCTGGGCTGAGGTTCCCACCAAGAGGCGCGTGGCCTGGAAGGGGGGCTGCGTTCTGATCTGGAAACAGTTGTAGTCTCCCTTGGCACAACTGTGGACTGGGATTGGATGCACCGAACCGGGCCGGACCCCAACACCCCCTGGTGTCCTGGAGGACCAGGGCAGATGTGCGATGGACTAGGCAAGGTCTCAAACCCCTACTGAGCCATGTGTGAGCCATACGTGGGTATGGACAAACCATGGCTGGGCTGGAACATCCAACAGCAAGAACCAGATTGGGTGGAAGGCCAGTCAGGAAAAGCCACAGTTCCTGCTATGACAGGAGGTGGACTGAGTAGGGTTGGCTCATGGACCCACTGGTAAGCGTGAAACCTGGCATTGGGAGAGGTTCTGATGGAGGAGCCTGGGCAACTCCTCTGGCAGGACACAGACCCAGCAGGTAAACGCAAGAAACATGATAGGAAACAGCCCAGAAAAGGCCATGGAAAACTACCCACTGGCATACAATTGGCAGACGTGGGGGCAAGACCAGGCTGAATCTGTCCACATCATCCACTGGCAAATCCAGGCACCAGTGTGGGTCGACCCAGGGTCGGTCACAACAAAGACTAGTGCACATTATGGAATGCGAAGGTGAGGTTGCCTGTACCAGAAGGGACCGCAGCGCCCAACCAGCCTGAGAACAAGAAAGGAAGTGGGCAGAGCCGGCAGGGGAATAAGGGAGGGTTCCTTTGCTGGACAGCTACTTCCGCAAGAGAGCATAGGCTGGGATGGGGGCAGACCAGACTAGGCAGAGCTACCACACCTGCATGCCTCATGTGGACTAGATCAGGGAAAAGCCGGGCTGGGCAGATTATTCCTACTGGTGCAAACAAAATTAAAGTGGGCGAGGGTTGTTTGGCCTTAGACGCAGCATCAACTGGAATCTGGGAGTGGGAGAGGCCTGGGAGGGAAATAGTGGGCTCATCCCTCTTGGGTTACCACTTCCACAGGAGGACATAAAACTAAGATAGCGGCTGGGGTGGAATGGGGTGTGGGACAGACTGGACTACTGCTACACTTACTGGCAAACCAGGGTAGGGGGTGGGCCTGGTGGGGGTTATTGCGGGTCGCTCCAACTAGGCTGCAGCTCCCACTGGTTTATGTGAGGGCCACGTATGTGCAGGGCAGAACCAGGCTGGACTGCAACACCCATTGGTTCCAGTGGAAGTCGGGAGTGAAAACAGAACCAACCCAGCAACTGCAACCACCAGCTGATTGGAGCGATGGACGGTGCCAGGCCCTGTACTTGCTAGCACATACAAGAAGTTTCTTTGGAGATCTTCCTAATCTAAATGCTGGACTCAGAACCCTAACCAAGAAAAGAGAGAAGACAGAACAGGTCAACCAACCATCTCAGCTATGATGGACTATGTCAATCAGTGGATTTTTCAAAGACCTCATAGTGCTTGCAGTGGCAACACTGACAGCAATTCATAACTGTTGAAATATCAAAACCACTTGAGCAAGAACCTCAGAGCATGCCCTACATCCGGTACCTGGAGAGGGTGGGAAAACGGGTGGGCCTTCTCCCTTAAATACCCCCCTTTAAACATGAAGGTAACAATATGGAAAACATACTAGTCTTATCCACTTTCCTGTAGCCCTTGAACCTGCTTACCCTAATTAACTATGTAAAAAATGTCAAAATAAAAATCAAAAAAAAAAAAAGGGAAGAAAACAGTGTTTGGGGTTGTGGGGTGAACACATGCTGCATTCTTGGCCTCCTCTGCTCCACTGGGTGCAATTATTACGAAAATGAGAAGCTCTATCGTGTGTGTGTGTGTGTGTGTGTGTGTGTGTGTGTGTGTGTGTGTGTGTGTGTGTGTAGGGTGAAGAGATGATATCTGTCTTAAATATACTCCCAGGAGTGGGCACAGACAACTCCAGCCACCTGGTCTCTCTGCGGCCTTGCAACACAGCCTGCTTCTCCTCTGAGGAATCAACACGTTTTGGCTTTTATTGCTTTTTGAGCAGTAAGCATGCTCGCCAGCAAAGGTTAATGAAAAGATTATATACACCTGACAACCTTGTAGGTCTCTCAATAAAGAACTCAATGCAATGTTCTCTGTCTCTTTCCTTACCACTCTTGCTTTCTAGCTCAGCACAACTTCTCAGCTGGGCTAAGCAAGTGCTGTGCATCACAGGAGGGCCCACTTGTTCTCTCTGCCTTCTGGTCATTCCTGCTCTGACACCTTCAGCCCTCCCTAACACACAGGAAAGCCTCTGCAGCTTTGTCCTTCTCTTGCAAGGTGGTCTGCTTGGCTTTCACTCTGATTTCCTTGAGTTCTGGAAGCAGCCCAGCAATTTCTCTAAAGAAGGCAGCTGAGGACCTGGCAGCTAAAGTCCTTGCCTTGAATGCCCCAGGATCCCATATTGGCGTCGGCTCTAATCCCAGCAGCTCGACTTCCCCTCTAGCTTCCTGCTTGTGGCCTGAGAAAGCAGTCGAGGACAGCCCAAAGCCTTGGGACCCTACACCTGTGTGGGATACCCGTAAGAAGATCCTGGATCCTGGCTTCGGATCAGCATAGTATCGGCCGTTGTGCTCACTTGGGGCGTGAATCATCGGACAGAGATCTTCCTCTCTGTCTCTTCTTCTCTCTGTATATCTGACTTTCCAATAAATAAATAAATCATTAAAAAAAAAACAAAGAAGGCAGCTGGGATTCTCTTTCTATTACAGAAAATGAAAAACACAAACAACCTCATTTTCATATTATCTTGTTTTAGACAGTTTGTATTTTTCAAAACCCATTGATTCCCTCTCGAATAGGAATTGGGACAAGCTAGGCAGCACTACCCTGTCATGGAATAGCAGCCCAATCTCCTGAGATACACATGATAGTTTGTATTCAACGTAACTTATGCTGCTATAAACCTTGAGGCCCTAGGACGTTGTGCCACTCATTGTAGCCAGGTCAGGCTGCACCGGAATGTCACAGAGCCAATATCCGTATGCGATTACTTCTCAAATTGCAATAGTGATGAATTCCAACACTTTTGTACACTTTAGTTTCCGTACACATGTGGTCTTATCCATCACAGACAATACACTAACACAGGACAGACTAAGGCTAAAACATGCCCAACAAACCCCTTCAGGTAGATTTGTTAAACCTGAGAGGAAAATCATTTGGTGAAGACACAGAAGGAATTAAACGCAAATTTTTTTCTGTCATTTGTTTTATTTTTTATTGGAAAGCCATCCATACTGAGAAAAAGAGAAACAGTGAGAAAGCTCTTCCATGTGCTAGGTCATTCCGTAAGTGCTCACAACAGCTGAGCCAATCTGAAGGCAGAAACCAAGAATCTCCTTTGGGTCACCCATGCAGGTGCACAGTCCTAAGCTCTTGGGCCATCCTCTCCTGTTTTTCCCAGGCCACACTAGGGAGCCAGATGGGAAGTGAATCAGTCGAGACATGAACCATTTACCATGTGGGAAACAGGCAAATGCTAGGTGAAGATTTAGCCAATGGGCTATCATGCTGGGACCAAAACCAAATTTTAATAGTAACTTTTTCCTTTTGATTTGTTTTCTGCCTTCACATTCAATACCCAGTGTCTGGCTTTTGATGTCAGAACTTCTCTACATAGATTCATCCCAACATAAGGACATGATAAGCAGCCCACACATCCCACATGGCAGTATACCAGTGCTGGCACACACAGTTTCATGGGAGCATAGATAAAAGTGTTCAGCAGCACCAAGTGCCAAACCAGTGTCAGGGTACCACAGGTGCTCTGAAAAAGCCACAACACCCCATGAAAGCCAAGGTG